ACACACAAGACACACACAAGACACACACAAGACACACACAAGACACACACAAGACACACACAAGACACACACAAGACACACACAAGACACACACAAGACACACACGACACACACACGACACACACACACACATCGAGCCCATGTTTTTCCAAGTCAGACGTGGCGCTATTGCCTCTTACCTAAAAAAGCCCGAGGAACGAATGAACAGGATGGCACTTTGTGGCCGGTGAGAAAGGTTATGGAGATAGCGACTTAGATATCAACTAGCAGCCATTGCAGTGCCCTTCTTTATCTTTGCCCACCCTGGAGTCGGTGCATTCATTCACTCAGGATCATGAAGCGGATGAAGATGATCTACAGACTAGATACCCGCTAAGAAGAACAGAACGAGTGAAAGTAACTTCTTAGAGCGAGTGGAAATAGATTGCCATTTCCCCTCTCAGTTCCGTGGCGCTTCGAAGTTAGTAGCTTAATCTCTTGCGTGAGTTGTTAGCACCGTGGCGAAACATAACGGCGCCCTTATGGCAGTCTGCGCTGTACTTTGTGCGGGATTTATGGCATTGCATTGTAAAGCAGCTGCCCAGGCTCAAGAGATCTAGATCCACACGCTTATCGAGATAATCGCCAACAACATACCCGCAAAAACTCAGACGAGAATAGAAAACTTTTTAGCGGGTAGGTACTTAGCATTCGTCAACGTAAGTCGCTAGGCAGCTTGCCGAGTAGATGCAGATCATCAGAAAAGAAACTTAGTAGCTACCTCAGCCTCTTGTATCTTGTACTTCTAGGATCAGTACCTAGACTCACTTCCAGCTACCTCTACTTGTTGTGCTAACTTCTAACTAGGATCATCTTTCTTCAGGATCGCTCAGAAGTGTTGACTGGCGACTTTCTAGAACATGTCCGAAGACGAGGACCCGTCGTCATGGCTTGTCTCGTATGGTGCGACGGCAGAGGTAATTGCCGACAATCTGTCGGATTTGCATCAGCTAGCGGGCAAACTAGACTTAAGGCTCCCCTACTATCATTTTTCCTACTATTATTTTTCTGTGCTGGAAGGGATAACCGGTGAGAGTTTGAGAAGCTTTTCTTGGGCTTTCCCTAATCCATATGCATAGCGTAGAACTTGAACTCCACTGCAGATCACGTAGCGGAGATTGTGCTTCAAAGAACCCAACTCCAAAGGGTTGGAGCACCATAATCGTGAGGTGCTGGATTACGATGGGCTTAAGATGCGTGCTCTAATCCATGAGGCGGAAGGTGTCTGCTTCCGAGATGCTTTCTGCATGCCACCATTGGAGGCCATAACACTTGGAAACCACGAAACGCCAGGGGTGATTAAGAATAGGGATCTTTTTTACATTGGGAATGAATGACCAAGAATTGATTTATATATAGAGATATTTGAAACACGCGCCAGGGATGATAAAGAATTAATTGCATAGAAATATCTTTGTGTACATTCGAGAGTGAGTCAATCATTGAGGCTCGAAGTTAACTCGTAGGTTTCCTGGCTGCATTTTTAAGGACCGGGATCGATGCATGTGCGACTCTGAGGAGAGAGAGAGAGGAATGGAAGGTAGAAACGGTAGACAAATAAAGAGTTCATGCTCCGCTTGAAAAGCGTCTAATGTGATCAAGAATCAGCGGAGAAGTTGCCCCGAAGAAGCTGGCCATGAAGAGGAAAGTTAAGAAGACAAAGTATTGATCATGCGAGAAGTCGATTTTTGATTCTCTTGATAAATAGAAGGTGCTTTTGTGCTAATGTAGTAGGATTTTACAACTTGAAGGAAAGTTCTTCATGCAGTGAGTTTTTTGGATCATTGACTCTCTTGAGTATTAGAAGGTGCTTTTGATGTGTTAATGTACGCAGTACGTAGGATTTCGATTTTATTTGAAGGGAAGTTCTTTTCTTTGACTTTGACATCTTGATCTCAGTTAAGTTCTAGATAGCTTTTTTTCCAGTAGTGGTAATTTTGTCTTGATCTCAGTTTGTTAGGTTCTACCTAGGTAGCTGTTTTTCCAGTAGTTGTAATTTTGTCTTGATCTCAGTTGAGTTCTAGGTAGCTGTTTTTCCAGTAGTCCATAAATTCAAAAAATAAATTTTGACAGCAACTACAAGTGGTACACGTTATTTCCCTTTAATAACAACGAGCGTCTTGCGCTGCTGATGGGGAAGAGCAATCACGGAGTAACCACAAAAACGAGGCAGTTTTTAAGACCTTTTTTTTGTCTTAAAGCTATCATCTGCTGTAAACGCACGTTGTAGGCTTGCGATCGAGCATCTTTCAAAAAAATTTTTATCGCAACGGAGACAAGGAGAGAGAAGGCCACTTCTCTGTTACTCAATTTGTTGAGGTAGGATACCGATACCCTTTGTGCCTCACCAAGTGTATTCGAAAGTCTAAGATGGTTTCAGTTCATCCACGTCCTCTACCTGTCTATGATATATGTAGCTAGTTGGGCTTACAAGTCTAAGTTCTATCTGGTCGGGCATTCCTTGGGCTTGCAGCCACGTGAAACGTCAACTCTGGTACAAGCGGAGCTGAAAAAGTGGGCAAATGTAGGAGTCAATGGACACTTTTCAGGGGAATTCCCTTGGATGCCTATAGATGAATTCGCCAATCCACTTGCTGCCACAGTGGTAGGAGCAAAGGCTGAAGAGGTAGTACCATTCATTCGTGAGGATCATCTAGAAGTGGTAGGAGCAAAGACTGAGGAGGTGCTATTATTTGATTAGAGGACTTAGAATAAAAGTGGTAAGAGCAAAGAAGACTGAGGAGGTAGTATATTTGTGATTAGAGGACCATCTATATCTAGAATAAAAGACTGGTATTAGGAGCAAAGAGAGGACTGGCGTTGGAAGTACTGATAAACCACACAATTAGACCACCTGCTACAAATAGATTAGAAAAATGAAGATGGTACAAGGACGAATAAAGACTGAGGAGGTTGTACTTCTACGGTTACTAAGATTAGGATCGGTCTTCTTCTTGTTCTTGTTTTTCAACACGGGTAGGACCTTGGCATTTCTCATGCTCTTCAAATAATCTTTACCTTCAGGTGTGCATGATGAACACTTTGTCAGTGAACCTGCACTTAATTTAAGGCCCTTTAAGTTTAAGACGGAGCAGTCAATTCTAGTTCACTGCTAGGAAGTTCTTCTTCGGAACAATCGACTCTAGTTAACTGCTGAGAAGATGGGAGGTAGAAGATGATGATCCTAATCCTAGGAACAGGAAGTGCAACTGAGACTGAAGACTGTTATAGAAATAAGAGAAGAGGAACAACACTTCTACTTAGGAAGAATTGTATACTTAGGAACCTCCACCCCGCTAATCGAGGTTCACCACGTTCTACCGACCACAAGCTGCAGGACGTTACAAAATCGTCTACGAGGAACAAGCGTTTCCTTCCGACTACTTTGCCTTCGAATCGCAAGCCCGACTCCACGACCTGGATCCGTCGAAAGCATTACTGGCACTTCTTAAGGCGAGAGCGACGATTGACGAGGTATTAGAATTAGATGTAGTCGAACTAGAAGTAGGACATGTAGTTTTTAGTTGGAGAGATGAGACTCTCGCGAGGACGTTTAATAGAAACACTGGCAAAATCTATGTACTTACTAGAACGAGAAGGGCATGGTCTAGAGCGATATAGAATCTGCTTCCATGCGATAGAGAAGCATCTTGTTCTTGTTCGAGTAGGATGTTTTTGAGATGTTGGATTCACTGTTGGACTGACTCTAACCTCTCCCCCGATCCGGAAACCGATGTCGTCGACGAAGAAGCTCTGCTGGAACTGTTATGATTGGAAGGAGTTACAGACGATATTTGGATTGTAAAGCCTTCTGATTGGATCTTCCTGTAGAGTAACGTTTCTCCCACCCTTCTCTGTCTCCCCTTCTTCTTTGGCTTTCTCTCTCTGTATCTGTCTCTCGCACTCTCTCTCTCTCTACCGCCTCCTTACTCCTCTTCCCTCTCTTTCTCTCTCCCCCTCTACGTCTGTTTCTCCCTCTGCATCTCTCTCTCCCCCTCTGCGTCTGTTTTTCTCTCTCTCTCTCGCCTTTTATCCTCATTCTAACTATCTTGCGCACAGACGAGAGCATCGCAGTGGTGTGTCTAGGGGCATTGCAGTACTATTCGGGCCAACTTTTCGATGTGGAGAGGATCACGCGAGTGGCGCACGAAAATGGGGTAATCGCCTTGTTCGATCTAGCGCATGCAGTCGTTATGGTGGACGGTCGTAAAACAGTCTTAGATTTAATGATCTCGAAATATGTGGAGCTACTGGTTCTTGTAGAGCAGGTAAAATTACTGGTAGAGCTTGAGCTACATCGATTGCTACGGTCAGTCAGTCAGTCAGTCAGTGGACAATAAGTCTCGTACTGTAAGGTGAAAGACTAGTGGCGGAGTTCAGTAAGGTGTAGCAATAGTTGATATGGAAATCTAACGGGTTTCTCCTGGAGAGTGTCCACAACTACTACTACTTGACTCTCTAACGTCCGCAACGTGCCGCTCAAACTGCACGATTGGAACGTCGACGCAGCATGCTTCTGCACTTACAATTATGGTCTGGAAAAATGCTCGAGACAAAGATCTGGAGACAAGGATGCTCCCTTTGAATTTTCTTCCTCTTAAACCTTATCTTTTACTCCTTTCAATATTTCTCCTCTGTAATCAATCTGACCCCCTTCGAATCTTCTTTAAATAAATCGAGTTAATCCCAATATTCGGCTTCAATCTTCATCTCCCTCTTCTTGTCGGAAAGAACATATTATACGGCAATAGGAGTTTCATTTTCAATTTTCTTCTCTAATTCACATACCTGAACAGTGGACCTGGTTCAATAGGCGGCTTCTTCGTCCATGAAAGGCATTTTAAAGAGGGCTACGATGAGAGTGGACCTGGTAATATCTGAGATTTCATCAAGAGGGTATAGATGACACTGGTCCTGGTAATGTGGTTACAATTGCTAGTACTATGACACTTCTAGTACTACGAAAACAACCGGCTAGTTTTCCTTGTTCAACGTCATCTCTTCATCCACGTTAAACGACTAGTACGTAGCAGCACTGCTCTTCACGCACCCCCTCCAGGTGCTGTTCCTTCCCAGAAACGGCTCCTCGGTTGGTGGGCTCACGATAAGAGTACCCGTTTCGAAATGAAGCATGAGCTAAAAGCCGCCACTGGCGCACAGGCATTTTCACTGTCGAATCCAGGAGTCTTGCTGTTAGGACTGCTTTTCCGTGGTGACTAACATCATGTTTATCCGTGGTGACTAACATCATGTGGCTGACAACCACAACTAGTGCAACTTCTACATAGTACTAATGAGGAACACTCGTCTAATTCAAATGATGTGCGCTATTGCGAGTTTGCGCGTGTTTGACCGGACGTCTATGCAACGCTTGAGGCTGCGAAGTGAGCGGCTGACCCTATTTCTCTGGAGAATCTTAGAAGGGGTACTGGAACAAGAGTTAAGGACTGCCATGTCTGTCACGTGAACATCGATGTAGACAAACGGAATACACGTGGTGCAGTTTATTTTCTCCCCGACAATTTAGATGTGGAACGAGCCCCCGAGCTTGTTCTTGTAGTCCTCACCTGTACGGATCATGTTCGCTTTCTTCTAACAAGGTACCAATCTTTTCCCTCTATTCTTAGGTCTATCCCCTAGTACATGCAATTCTTTTGTGTCTTGTTAGGTCTGCTCCACCAACACTCTCTTAGGGTCTACCTGAACCTGATTATTATATCAGAGTAGTTTATAGCACGCATGGTGCATGGAGTAGCATGGAGTGCATGGAGCGCAGAGCTTTAAGGGGCGCAAGAAGCTCCCCCTTTGGCTCCATGCTACTCCATGTGATCCATGCACTCCATGCGCCATGCGTGCTATAAACTACTCTGTTAGAAGAAAGCAAACATGATCCGTACGGAATACACGTGGATCATATTTGCTTTCTTCTAAGAAAAAGTTGAGTCAACATGAAGATCATCGCTTGCTGATGGATTGAAAGAGCTTGCTTTTTGTCGTGAAAAATAGTAGTAAATATGTAGAACTGGAGTTTTTGAAATAGATAAGAAAGCAACAACGAAGATCCATCTTCGTTTGCTTTCTTCTAAGAAAAAGTCAGAAATTTGGAGCATCCTCGAAGCTTTTTTCGATCGTAACGCCTGCGGAACGAGGAAAGCGGGGTTCGATGCTAACCATCAAATTCGCAGATGGTGATTTGTGCAGGTTATGGTAAACCAAAATAGAGAACATTGATACTCATATTATGCTTCTCTCTAGAAAAAATCGATATGCTTTTAGTTGTGTGAAAGGAGAGAACGAGAACAAGTACATTTAATAAAAGTAAGCCATCTCTAAACCACATGGTGCATGCAGCGATTGAGAAGAAAGGCGTTGTCATAGACTACAGAAGTCCGGATGCTTTGCGAATAACACCTGTAGCCTTGTACAACACCTTTGGTGACTTGGCACGATTTGCCGAAATCTTCTCGGAGGAATTAGCGGAGCTTGCTGCGCCATAGAAATGCTGCGGGATATAATTTTCCAACTACAGAACAAAGCTTTTCCAACTACAGAAAGGATATAATTTTCCAACGCTTTGAAAAAGTGCTGTGTATTCGCGTGAAATTAGTCATGCAGGAGCACTTTATGCTTACTCAGTTTTTGAGGCCGATGAGTACTGCTAGTACTCGTTTTATTTTTCCTGCTGATTCTGCCAAGAGAAGTTTTGATTTGAAGACATAATTGTTGATGAAAGCAGCACTTGCTGAAGTACTGAGATGGGGGCGTGGCCGAGGGGGATCGAGTTAGGTCACTGAAAACAGGTGTGCATTTCCAATTTACTGTTTGCCAACAATATTTTTTTAAGATGCTCGCTTAACTGACACATATGTTGCGATGCATGCTACACCCGGAACGACCACGTCGGAACACTGCAAAGCTTTGTGAAATTTTCTGTTTATACCATCGCATGTGTATCAAATAAGGTCGTTGGGACCAACGCGACTCATGATTGAGGGGAATGCGCCGCTTGCACTGGTGCATACTTACTATCTTCTGCTCGGTCATAGGAGAAGATCCCAGTTTTTAATAGACTACCAGCAAGCTTGTGGACACAAGAATATTAAAACTTGAAGGCTTGAAAGGGTTCTGATATTAGAAGATGGACGAACGATCAATATTAAAAAATGAACGAACGACCAACAACGATCACTTATTTCGGAGTAATTCTCCTGTTGAAGTAGAGAATGAAGATGAAAAACTGATGATTAGTTCAACATAATTTTCATGTACCTTGCGTACATGGAATGTAATGAAGAAGATGCTGTGTTTTGTTCTCCTTGGGCTTGGTAACCTCCTAGGAAAGGCTTCGGCGGTTGCGCACTTTTTCGATTCGTGGCTGTCTGCAGCATCGCAAACGCAAGAGTTGACCATTGCCAAGATTAAGACAAGTACCCGCAACACGATTTTGACCACCAAGAGGCATATAATTTTTGTGAAGCAGGTAGATTTGTAGTTTTTGTGGTACTTCCAAGCACAGCTCCTAACAAAAGCCGCATCTCATCGGAATTTATACACCGGTCGCGAAGTTAACTTCTCGAATATTAAAAATGATCTAGTTTGATTCTACTTCTAACAAGTAGGAGATGCGGCTTTTGTTAGAAGTATCTAAGATTATCTAGTCGCATTTTCCAACAAAAGCTTCGGTCCCTGACTGGTTGATGTATTCCGTGATCAGAGGCTGACCGCATTACGTCGTTGTTGAATCTGTTTCGTCTTGCTGGTAGTCTAGGATGACTATTTGAGACGCGAATAGTCAATTTATGTATCTATACGCATTTTCTAACAAAAGCCGCATCTCATCGGAGATTACGCCATCGTTGGACCCTTGTGTTGAGGCCAAGATTCAGACTAAGGTTCTGTCTGGATTCGTCGATCGGGAAGCCAAGTTGTTGGAAACTTATCTTAAGAAGGCTGGAGATAAATCCGGACCAGGAGAACGGACAAGAACTCGAAAGAACCATGTCCTCGAGGATTGAATTAAAAATGACACTACTAACACTTGTTCTCATGCGCTACAATTATTGTACTTACTTACTCGTCGGCTACAATGAACATTGTACTTTTTACCTGCTCGTCGATCGGACTCGAAAACTGAAAATAACCGAGTTACTGACTGAAATAAGGGAGGTGGTAGCTTTGACAGGGCTACTCTTCCTTGTTATCTATCAGTATCTCGCGTATTTTCAGTTTTTCGAATACACTTCTCATCTAACTATCGCAGCGTAGCAAGCGAGTGTATGTTGCCGACGGCCGCGTATGCTCCAGAGTGTGTCGCTCAACTGGAGGGAGAAGAAGCGCACCAATCACGCAGTCCACTCATCTGGTTGGCTAATTGTAGTGAAAATTATGGTGCTGTGAGTTTATGAGAACTAAGTTGTCGGAGACTGTGGCGACTAGACATACCCGAGTCGATCGCAATGACGACCATAGAAGCGCAACACACACAGAGCACAAAGAAATCCAACGGGATCGCACGCGTCGCCCGGTGTGCATCGAAACGCGCAAAAACTAAGTTATCTCGTCAGTGGTGGAAGATGCCCACCGGAGACGTGCGCTGATGACTACGAATTCCCGATAATAGTTCATATCGCTCCTGTCGATCTTCAAGATTCACTTCTGATATAGTCATTGTTTCGACTAAGTCTAAGAGCATGGCCAGCTAGGGATGAAGTTATAAATTTGTTGAATCCTCGTCTTTTTTTCGCTCACGTTCTTGGTTTCCGTACAGATAGATTGTTCGAGACTCGATGTCCTCGATGATTTCATATGTCGACCAAGACCAAGACTAGCGACCAAGATCCCAGCGCGAACGTCTCCGTGGAGCCTGCTGCGGCCTGTGCTTTTGCACAAGCTAAAGTGCGGAGACATGCCAATTACTCTGCCGCATTCCGAGAGGTGAGCTACTTGATGCGTCAAAGTTTAAGGCCAACTACGACTGCTTTTGAGGAAAATAACATTTTCTCAGGGTGCTTTTGCGTGTTTCCTTCCTATCCTCGAGAGCTCCTCTAAAGACTGCAGAAAACTGTCACGCTGCGCCGTTGCAGTGCATTAAGGGCCTTCCCCTCTGCATGGACCAAACAAGCATCATGTAATGTTTTTCTCCTCACATTGTTTTCTGCATAGTGGTGTTAGTAGTTGAACTACTCATTTTTACAGCAAGCTCTGGATATTGTAATTTGAGAGCATCTCTAGTAATCTATCATGAGATACGTTAAGACAGCGAACTTCACTCTACTACGTATTGGTCTTTACACATTCTACATTCATAAAGTACAAAACAGGTATTGCTTCAAACAGTGTCTGCAGAACGGAAATTACGACCATATCAAGGATTCCTTCACCCTGCTGGCGGCGCTAGAGCAAGATGGAAACGTGCGGCTCTTGAATAGATAGACTTACACTTCTTCAGACTCCGTTACAGCATCGATAGAAGTTACCCTTTCATTCAGTTGTACTTACAAAGAAAATATGGAGCTGAGAACAAATGTTCAGAATCAGAAATGTAACCGGTAATTGTTTTTTCCTCGAGATGCATAGTCCTTCCATTTTACCATTCCATTCGCCAGTGTAAGATTATAATATGAGGGAGACAACTTGGATTCGGAGCTAGAAGAATTTCAAGCTTCCTCGTAGTAGTGAAGGGTTCTTCACTACCTGAGCTCATTGATTGAGGCTTACGATGAGCGTTTTTACGATAAAACAGGTGGAAGAGTGAGACGCAACATTTTTTAGTACGGAGAATCAATGCCCGAAAATGTGAGAGTGAGAGAGGTTGAGACGAGCAAAGAAAACTACACGCTTGAAAAAACCTATTGCCGATACAGGGGGATAAGCTCCTGTTCTCCCTGATTTAGAAAGATGCGTCCATGCTGTTGTACTAGAAAAAGCGGCATCAGAAATAGTTCAGTTGTGAATCATCAAAGCATATCAATTACAATTCCTTCAATGAAAGCATAGGCTGCGGGATTTCATATCCGTAGTTTCAGAAAAATGGGCATAACCAGTGACGGTGCGCAAGTGTCCACCGTGAGGACGGCATAGGCTGTAAGCACACGGAAGTGCGGCGCGCAGTTCGTTGACTAGAAAAAGACGTCACGATAGTCAAAATTTGAATTAGAGTAATCCTAAGATATCGGTGGTTAAGCCTATCGATCACGAGGACAATTTCCTTCAACCCAACAGACTACGACCATTAGTACAACTGCTGTCCGACTAGTACATCGTTCTGACTAGGAGTACGAGCATAAGGCGGCAAGTAGGCGTAGAGACTCTTCCAAAGAGACGTGGCAAGATGCCGAACACGGCTACCACTTCCAATTATGGCAGATAATGCTAAGAATTTTTTTTCAGGAGGATCGATTAGCTTGACTTAATACCCCATCTCCCCTCCTCTACCTCTTCTAATCCTCGGCTCCGCAAGAGCCAGCACCGTCGAAAAAACAGACGGTGTTGCTCTCTTCGGAGCAGCCAAGAACAAGTGGCTTCGATGCTATCTTCAAAGCGCCGTCACAACTCGGCGTCCACTATGATCGCCACATGCAGGAAGTGGCGGCTGGGAAGACGACAGTTAAGGCTTACTGTATAATTCATCTTGAGACGATCCATCAAGTGTCTTGCGTTCGTATTCGTGTTTGAAGAGAAAACTACAAGAACGGTCACTTCCAACATACTTACACTTTAAGATGGATAATTTTGGCAAGGTCTAAGACAGGGCAAGTCCAAATTTCCAAGATCGATGCGGACAAATACATGCGTGAGTACCGAAATGCAGAACAGCCACCGCCAGAAAACGTTATTAGGAGACAAGTACTTATATTTACATTATCTTGAGTATGCTACAAGCTATGTGGTCTAAGTAGTAGAGAGGAGACCTATGATCTATGATTCATTTTGGTCAACAAGCTGAAGCTTTTCTCTAGTCGTGAGATATTTTTTTTCCGATGTTGATAGATCCTGTCTAGTACTGACTGTCCTAAAATATCCTGCAGGAACTTCACAGTGATTTGACGCGGATGCAGAGGCATGATGTGGTCAAAGAAGGGGAGAAGGACACGGAACTTCGATCCGAGAAACGGGAAAAATTTCTCGCGAGTCGGAAGCAGAGGCATGACGATGCTGTTTTGGAGTGCGAAGCGGAGATAGAAAAATTGCATGAGTTATGTCTATCTAGAACGTCAATCCGACTGATGTGTTGCTCAATTCAAAGAGATTTGATGTAGGAGAAGTTGAATATTTCCATTACTCGCGTTTTCTGACATGATCCCCTCTTCAACAAGTTGTTGTAGCGTCTCGAATGCTCACTAGGACTAAGTTGTTGGTACATCAGTGAGCTGCGTGAAGTGAATCAGTACCAAGCGAGAATCCTGAAGAAAGCCCTTCTTCATTTTCGAGTTGTAGCGACAAACTGCAAGGATTTTCGAAGGCGATGAAGGGCTACCTGCAGGAGATGGATCAAGAAGCGGAAAAGATTTTGAAGCCTCTGGAGACGAATATTGAGGCATTGGGGGAACAGAGTGAGGCCTGGGTTCAGGATTTGCTGACGAGATTGGAAGCAGGTATAAATATTTTTCATCACTCTGAATCAATATCTTCAAAAATTCATCTAACTCTCCGTTGACGACGAGGGAGCAAAGAAAAACATCCACAGTGACGTAGCTTGCGGCACCCATTCTTGACGTGCAGGCAAAAAAATCGACGAGCAAAAAAATCGACACAAATAAGACTCATGATGAACTCCAGGTATCATTGCCCGTGGTACAAAAATTGAGGAGTTCGATACCCAATTACAGGAATTAGAGCTCTTCCGAAAGCGCCAGGCCCTCGACCGATTAACGGTAATGGTTAACTCCTGCACAGCTGCAGCTCACTGCAGTCCTGGAGAGGTGGAGAGAATAGTCGACCAAAAATCGCATGTGGTGAACACGCTGTCCTTGGAGAATAGTCGGAAGGGATCCGAGTTATCGACGAAATTGAGGGAACAGAATATGGAAAACTCCAAGAAGCACAGGAGAAGATGGTACGAAGGCCTGTTGCGATGGAAGAGACAACGCCATCAGACCGCTGTCGAGACTGTCTTGTTATGCTCCTGTTCTTGATCAGAGGAGAGTGTTTTTTTGTTGCAGTTGGAGGATACTACGACAACATCTTCCTCAGGAAGATGTTGTAGCTAGTAGCACCAGAAGTGCTACTAGTAGCGTGCTACTAGTAGTCAGTTGTACAACACCCAGGGCGAGATACAACTGTGCTACAATACTTTTCATTTGCCTCTTTCACTAGGGCGGGCACGGTCGCAGTGTTCAGTACTTCTAAGAAGTCCTTCGAAGAATCTTAGGACCGTTGTCTAGAAGATCTAAGTAGATTTTTTTTTCTATCGAGCATGAAAAAGTTCTTGAAATCTTCTAATTGTGCGCAGAATCGAGAGTAGGGAATTCCGTGGCTGTCCGGAGTTGATTTCCCTCTTGGCAAGAATCCGAGTTCAACAACGCGATGTTTTTGACCAGCGCAAGGAGTTGCTTGTACAAGTGTACACTACGGAAATTGATGCTCTTTTATGGTGAACATTTAGTGTCCATCTTTCTCGGCATCTTGATCCCCTTTTGCCTTGTATTACTTCATGAAATCCAAGCGGAACAGCGGGGTGATCGAGATTGATGAGGGGACCAATATGGATTAAAGCTGAGTCTAACTCTTAACTCCAATAGGTTACGCGGCATCGAGGAACAGATCACGGCTATCAACGATCGCACAAGTGAAGAGACGGATAATTTCTTGGTGGAACTGAAGGAATTGAAGGATACACTGCAGTACAAGTCCGAAGGGATGCTGAATCAACTTTAAGATGAATGGTACTACTAACTACTTCACTGAATTGTACTACTTCACTGAGCTGAATGGTACTACTTCACTGAGCGGCCTCATACACTCGAAAACTCAAAATAACCGAATTACTGAATGAAATAAGGGAGGTAGCTACTACTAACTACTTCACTGAAGATGAAAGAATGGTACTACTGATGGTACTACTAACTTCACTGTGCGGCCTGCCTCATACATAGATACTTACACAATGCTATACAAGAGGCGCCATGTGACATGACATGACACCTCTTGGACGAGGTTTGGTGTATTTGCCATCCCTTTGGATCATTTGGTTTTTACGTTGCTTCCTCTTCTCCAATTTTTTGGTTACTGCCTCTCCAACAGCTCTAACACTCGCGCACCGAATTGGAAATGTACGACGCCAGGACAGAGTGGGGTGACCATGAAAGTGTGAAAAGTCTAGTTGAGTCGGATATTAAACCCCATATGGATAATTGCTTGAACTGGATCGAGACCCTCTGTTTGGAACTCGCAAACGTCCTGCAAACTTTGGACGAGTGGGCGCATCACACGGTCTTGAATTTGAACTTAAGACTTTGATTTTTACTTCTTATAGTTTTTTTTGCAGTCTATCGATCATCTAGGAGTTACCGATATAGTAGGAGTAAAAAAGGAAGTACTTAGAGGGACCCGATTTTTTTCTGAGGTTAACCTCTAATTTGCACATTCGCAATAAGGACCGCCACTTTGCTGGAAACCTTCAAGCAACAGCTGAGCGAGCTGAAAATGAAACAGCAGGGCGAAATCGAAGATTGTACTACTACTGTTTTCAAACACAGACAATATACACGTCTTCCGCCTGTGTGCATCTAGTAGCACTACATCAACCTACCATTACACCCTGCATACAGGCATCCAGTTTGTATAACCAAGTAAGTGCGTCGTCAAAGTAGCTCCGACCACTACCAACAGGCATCCAAGACCATGACGATGAAAAGGCGAGGAATGAAGGAGAAATGCGTAATTTCAAGGAGCTGATGGAAGATGAGGTGCACATAGAGGGATTGGACGTCTTATTACATTAAGGGAGGAGGATCTTGCGTCATGCATACTCATGGTAAAAATAGATAGCCACTGTCACCATTAGTAGAAGCTTCTTCTTTGCCATTTTTAGTACCATGTAAACCGTGGATAGAAGAAGTAATTCCTCTTTTTTCTCCGACAGACCCTCCACCTGCCGAATGACAATCCTTCACCATCTTGATCTTCTTCTAATCTTCGAAGACGTTTGATAAGCTCGATGTGATCGCGCAGAGCTACCGCGATTTTGCTCGAAATTTGCTTGACATTCACAAGAGTTACGAGCCGAAAATCATGGAGTTTTTCGAGGGACAAACCGACACTTTTGCATTTCCATTTGGATTGGAACGCAAGCTGGAGTTAAGGCTAGCATATCACTATCTGGCATTATTATTTTCATCCTTTCGGAAACAGACTAGTCCATACTAGAGCCAACTATAACATGGCGTGGAAGAATATGCCGGATAGTGAAATTCTAGCGTTAATAGACGAGGAGGACGAGGACGAGGAGGAAGAAGCTGCCGCAGCCGAGGAAGGAGCGGAAGAAGAGGAGGCAAAAATATGATCTGGGGTCTACTACTACTACTAGGCACTACTACTACTACTAATATCCCTAATACTACTCCTATTACGACTACTACTCTTATTTGAGGTGGACTGAACAAATATGCTAGGTTTTCGATGTTACAGGTAGTTTCGACGACTACAGTGAGCTCCCAAGAACAAGAGCCATAGAATCTCCTACTGAAAAAACTGCAGTAAGTAACTTCTAGTCTCCCTCTGGCTATTCTACTCATCTCGAATCGCCGACAACTTCTGGGGTGAAGCACCCTTAGCTTTCTTCCCTTCTACTCTCTAATTCCCGACAACTTCTGGGGTGAAGCACCCTGAGCTTTCTTCCCTTCTACTCTCTAATTCCCGACAACTTCTGGGGTGAAGCGCCTGAGGGATACAGTTTCCCTCTCCTGAAAAAAGTAGAGAACGATATTTGGCGGCTACAAGTGATACCCGCGATCGAAGACGAAGAGGGCGAAGAAGGCGGTGACGATGATGAGGACAAAGCTGTTGGGCTGCCACAGAGTGTGAAAAATTATGAAGTGAATTTTTAGAAGGCCCTAGTAGTGCAACTTCATCTTTTGAACTTACTGCCGCTGCAAGAGTGTAACGGGGGTGAGTTCAGAAATGTAGATGATGCTACCTTCATTGTACTGGATACAAGTGAAATTCAATTCATGTCTATGCTTGCGGAACCCAAAAAAATACTCTCCACCTGCACGACGACCAGAGAATTACTCAACCTGCTCTAAGACCCAGAGCTTGCTTTGGTGGATAATCGTATTGTTCGTATGCCAAAAGCAGCTGAGGGCCAGTGGACCTTGGAGGAGCTTATTTTCAAGACCTTTTTCGTCGAAGACTTGCTTGGGGATATGAGAAAAAGGTTTCAATTACTCCTTCTATTTTGTAGTTGAATTTTTTTGACTATCTAAGATTTACAACTCGCTTATAATATTACATGATACACTACGACTACTAAATCTAAACTACGTAGTACGTCGTGTTGTACGTGTTGTCCACCCTACTTGTCTCTAGGTTATTCAGCTTCGTCCACGACCATAAGTGTACGCTTGACGCAAAAGCCCGTGAAACGCTGGCTAGAGAGGACGAACGGATTAACATGGAGCTGGATCAAACCCTTCGAAGGCACACCAACCGAAAGGGTGAAGTACAAGTGGACTGGTACTACTTTTTTTGTTCTTTTGTCTGGACTCCACTTCCTGTCTTTGACACTGAAACCTCGTTGGAACCACTGTTTCTTCTCTTGACACAGCACTTGATATGATTATTTTGGCCTCCATCTAATCCTACAGGTACAACCCTCGCAACACCATCATCGAGAAGCACAAGAACCGGTTTGAACGTCACATGATAAGCATCGCACAGAAGAGCAGCGCGCAGGAAGATGAGGGGGAAACTTGCTATCTGGCCATCAGTGACGCAGAGGGCGTCTATCATGAACGCCTTGGAGCCTTCACGGAGAAGCTGCAAGAAGGTACATTGTCTGTTCTACGTAGGATTAAATTTTCTAGTCGTGCCTCACTCCTGAAGGCAAATGGGAATTACATTTTCTAGTCGTGCCTCACTCCTGAAGGGGGCACTCAACCTGTGACCTTCCTCACCCCATGCAGCCGTGTCAACATCAATCTGCTCCTTCTTCACCATCCCCATCAATCTGTCCCTGCACCAATCCCCTCCAGCTCGCAATCTCGCTGCTCTGACTGCTGTAGAACGGAAAGGGAAAGACAGTTGCGCGCAATTCATAGACGTGTGTCGGTCACGGGCAGAAACGCTATTAACTCTGGCTGAACAAGGAATCCAATCTCTAGTGGCGTCCAACCGGGATTTTGTACGGATGTGCAAGGCTGGCGGCGACTCCTACAGCAAAAGCGAGATCGTTTACTACAAAGAGCAGACGACGATACTGAATACCGCTTTGGAGCAGAAGAAAGAGGAACGAATATTCGCGCTGGATTAAGGCTACACCTCCATATTGATATTGGATGACTCATTTCTTGAAAACTAGCGCGGCTTCAGAACAACTACAAAGATGAATGTCGACTCATATCTTGAAAACTAGCGCGGCTTCAGAACAACTACAAAGATGTACTTCTAGACATCACTGTTATTATTTTTTTTCTATCAACGAACATCACTCAGCAGATGTAGTCCTTCTTTAATTCCCAGACAAGAAAGGCAAGCTTCCGGCGATGCAGCAGGAGCCCCTAGACAAGTTTTTGCAGGCCTATGGAGACGCAGTTGACAAGCTTTCTCAGGAGTTGGGCTTAGGACCCGTCTTTAAGGCTGTACCTAATACATCTTTGGACGTATCCTTGGAACAACGTATGGAGGAGTATCCCAAGCGAATACTCCCCCATACTTTTCAAGGATGCACTTGAAAGATGAATTACGGGTAGCTCTAACGTCTATGGCGCGCCACGCAGAAGAGCACAAGAGGCCTGTAGGACCATAATGAGTCGAACGGAATCCACGCTGCATGGGATAGGTACTTCAATAAACGGAAGTTGTGCTCCTGTGTACAACGAACATGTGCTCTTCAAGAATCTAGAAGAAAATTGGGATGAAAACATGACTGAAGATTTGTTGTGGTTTTCGAGAAGACTCATTTTTAACAGCAGAGCCAGAGGAGTACGACTACTCCCGGGCTTCCCATATTCTTGTCAACTACAATACAGGTCAATACGTAATGTACTTCAAGGACTGCATGGCCAAAAGGGAGGAGGCGCGGCCATTGACACTAGACTATCAATTGCGAAAGCAACGGAGTTGGAAGGAACTACAGCCACCGCCAGCGAGTGAGATGATGGGCGCTTTTGAGATCATTCTAGTAGGAATAATCGCATTGGGAAAGCATTTGGAGGCGTTCAAGTCAAAGTTTACAGAGCGCTACATTATGATCTATCATCAAATCATCGGCTTACACTCTCGTACTTCTTCTTGCACACGACCACAGTATAATCGTCAGATGTGCTGCTCTACTACTCGGGACTCTAAACGATCTAATCTACTATGCATAGGTTTTGTTTTCCACTAGACGGTACGTATGTTTTCTTCCTCTAATCTCGAGCAAGACGAGACAGAGGTGCGTGGAATGTGCCGTCTTGACGAGAGCCTGTACAAATGTCCGGAAGGAAATGCGTTGGAGAAGAAGGAGAAGCTGCTGTTGGAGGACATAAGTATCAGTCTCTTAGGGCCGATTCCGACGAGTGACCTGTACACCCCTGCCATCGCGAAGGTGGAGCAAGCTGGTAAAGACGCATACAAAAGTGGGGTACCTGACTTCATGGCGAAGTTCTTGGCAGACATGAAGGTCTCAACAGAGATGCACAGACGGAAGAACTTTATGACATTCCAATTCGATTTTCATTATCAGGATCATATTTGTTTCCTAGTTAGGTGTGCTCCAGCGATATTATCAGGATCATATTACTTATTCAATTTCAAGTACAACTAGTTGCACTTCTTCTGTTTCATTCTCTCTTTTCATTCCCTGCGCCGGGTTGCGAAGTTTGTGTGAGGAGCTGAGGGACAGCACTCTTTTGCTCTTCGGACCGTCTGTCTTTGACGACTTCCTCCTTCGAGCACTGGGAGAACTCAAAGCGGCTGTGAATTTATGTTCCGGTTTTTGCCTCCATTTCTTTCACTATTTCTTTTACCTCGTAATACTTTGACTATTTCTTTGACTATTTCTTTTACTCTGAACGACCTACGTACCACGTACTACATTATGAACAAGAACCTACCATGTATCATCTCTGAAGTAGATCTAAAATCCGCGATGAACAGTGTCATGAGTAAAGGCATCGCAGAGTTGGACCAGCGTAGGCTTTCACACGAGACAAGGCTTACGCCAAGTTTAGCGAATCCGAATAACGCTAGAATACTAAAGAAGCTGAAGGACGATGAGGCGGAGAGATATAGGGATGCGTTGGCGAGTACTTACTTTTTCGAACACCATTAGTAGACTACTAGGTAGAATTACTGTGAGCATGCTAGAGAATACAAAGGCAACAACTAGAATATCTCTGTGCATGCTTGCTACATTTTCGAATACCCTTTATCATGAGGACCATTACTGAGTGTTCGTTCTTAGAAACTCTGGCCTCTTTCTATTCAGAAGTGTCCTTTTCACCAGGTGTCAACAAGTGGAAGTTGCAGTGGGCTAACCTTCTGCACCGGGAAGCAGTGAATTTCTTGCATCGACTAGTTAAGGGGAGTTGTTGCAGAAGTGCATTCAAGTAGTAAACTCATTTCTGGTGGCTCATTTCTTCACGGTAGATGAAAAGCACTCCTGTACTTGAACAACAAAAACAACAACATCTTCAACAAGAGATGCATGATGCAGAGGACGTTCTTATGGGGATAGAGAGAGCTTTAATCTCGTTGTCAATTTCCAGACTTTGATGCGGTGCGTGGATTCTCTGCCGCTAGGGACGCATTACAACCCACTACCAGGAGACGAGAATGTAGAAACGCAGCGAATGAGTATCAAGCGGAGAAAAAGGCGGGTGTTTGCAGGTCACCAGGGAGAGATAGTAGTCGATGATGAAACTTTGCCCCCTCGTAGTTGGGAAGGAGTAGAGACCAGTCTGTGGAAGCTGGAGTCGTCGAGGACTGGTGAGTCATCTGCTTCTGATGATACATCATCAACCCCATCGTTTTGGGCAAGCGAGAACGACTTTCTGCAGGCACGGATCTTATGTCGAAAACTTATATATTTTTTTCGAAAAATTCACCTTGATCTCCTCGATACTTTCCAGCAGTGTAGGTTTTTTCTCTAGTCACAGACTAGTACCTAGATGAAGATGAACAGCTTAGTAGAACAGTTGCTTGTTGTAGCATTTTCTTTTTACAACAGGATCACGACTCTACTAATTACCGAAAACCCCGCTTCCGCACCTACGTCACTTACCTACGAGACACCCCCAGCGGCATCTGCCATACCAGGTGTGACCAATGTTGCAGTGGCGTCCTTTTCTGTAGTTGGCCTTTTTGAAGCGGAACAAGCTGCGTTGTTGCGAGCCGAGGTTTCACCGACAGTCGAAAGCTTCAGGTCTCCTGCACATAAGATCATCTTTCACTTATGGCATTTGACACCCATTAATGGCAGCTACTCGAGGATTTATTCCATCTTTAGAAGGAAAGCAAAGCATCTTGAAGGGCTTTTCAAAAGCACAACTACAGCTTTTCAGAAGAGCAACAATTTCCATTTGGAAAGCAGCTCCCAGTAAAGTGCTTAAGTTTTCAACGATAGATGTATGTTGACCTCCATTTTGAGCATAAGTAGAACTTCTAATCCCCAAACGAAATGCCGTTTACGAGGAATACAAAGCAGCCTTTTTGAGGGAGGTTGCGGAAGCTACAGAGTCTGTTAAACAACGGCTGGAGAAGGAAGATGCTGGCGAAGGCAACTGGCAGAATATGTGCGAACAACTGGTGTCAGGGGGCAAAGACGATGACTAGAATTATAGAGGAGGTGGAGATAGCGTTGAATTCCTATGATGTTTTTCTTCGCAGATACTGGTAAAAACGACACTTAATGAGTAACTTCTTCGACATCAAATACTAATACGGCAAAACTACACCAAAACTTTTATAGATCCGCATCAGTTATATTGTCTGCGAAAACAAGCAGGTTGTTGTTAGAATGCAGAACAGTTTCTCAGTATGGTATCATTCTCTTCGTTTAGTTTTGCTCTCGAAATCGAAGGAACATTTACTACTTTTTTTTGAATATGATCATTCGATCGTAGCTTGATTCCAGTTGATCTTTTTTTTTGCTTGGACGAACGTGACAGACGTGCTTCTTTCGGATTCGAGATTCGCATTTTCAATCAGATGATTAGACTTAGCACAGAAGGAATGACTGTGTTGAATTCGAAACTCGTTTGGCACTACTCTGTGGCAGAAAGGACTTTGTTGCAGAGAGAGACGATAATATGGAGAAGCCTCGTGCTTTGGCTCTGCGCAGGAATGGAGACGGTCTATGGAGGGGTTGACACTGAGCAGTGTTCTGCTTATGCTTTCGACGAATTAAAGTTTAGAAAAAAAAGAACACAATAAGAAAAATTTCAAAAATACAATTTTTTGACATAGAGGGAAGAAGAATTTGTTAGCATCTTCGAGGAAAGGAATCAGTTGAACTCGAAAAATCGGTGTCACCGCAGTGTCGCTGCAGAAGATCTTTTCCACTCGGTTATTTCAGTTTGTCGAATACAGCAAAGTTTTGTTTCTCAATTATACAACAGCACGACTGCCCTTGATTGTCAGTTCGATAACTTAATAACTTGTTCCTTCTAGTACATCCACATCCACTTACAACATTCAGATAAATGAAGGATTCGCTGTCGTGGGTACAACATCGTTAAGGACTAGTACTGTCATTTTTTTATACTACTTGGATTAGTATCACCTTCTGGCGTCCCCCGCCAATGCTCTCGTTAATAGTAGAGAGGATTACTGCCACCTACACGTACACCTTCACCCAATTTACCTAACAACTATACCCCTAAGCCCACAAGCAGAAGACTGACATTATAGTATACTATAATACTGCTCAAAGTCCTAAGAAAGGAGCCGATTAATTTCCCTTCGACTTAATCCCTTTGTCCAATCCTTAGATATACTTTGCCTAACGCGTCGTTGTGCTTCAGATTCCGCCTCCTGGCCGTCGGTGCTTTTCCTAATAATGATAACCCTTAAATATCCTAACCCTACGAGTACTCAGCTTACTTATATTTCTGAACAACAACTATATTACCACTAACGACCCTACAACAACAACAAGGAGCTTATTGACATTATAAATGAATCTACACTGCTTATAAGTTAGTATAAGATTAAGTCAAATAGAGTAGCTCGTCTAAAAGTATTTCTTTCGTTCCATCGCCTCCATTTATATACAGAGGACCACTAGACTTGGAACAGTATTTTCGAAGATGAAAAAGATTGACCACTGACCATCTTCGCTCATGTCCTGAAAGGTATCGATCTACGGAGTCAAAGCCGGAGTTGGTCTTGTATTGAGGTCAGTTTTTATCCATCTTTATCGGCATCTTGTTGGTGCCCTTTTGTTCCCCTTGTATTCTTTTCACGGGAAGAGAAGGAGTCGAGATGAAGGGACCGAGATGAATAAAAGCTGTCGCTAAAAATTGTAGACACGCGAAGGTGAAATTGCTCTACAGCTCGACGCTGCGGAGAACTTGCTCTTCACTATAAACTCGACGAACGAAGCGGAACGAGGATTCCTTTTTTTAAGGCTTTAGACACACAAGAATCAATAATTTTTTTTGCTTAGTTACAGTCGCAGAAAGGATTCCTTTTTTTAATGCTTTAGACTGACCATAATTTTTGAGCTTTCGACTTGATCTTCTGTCGTAGTTGCGAGTGGTTTTGACGACAATTTGAGACTTTTCCCTCGGCATCTCCCGAAAGAACAAGTGTATTATAATATAGTAAATGTCCTCCACATGCATGACAGCGAAGCCGAGGCATCCTATCCTATCCTATCCTATCCTATCCTATCCTCCACCGACTGTAAAAGTAACAAATGAATGAAAATCCTAGATCCCTATCCTATCCTTCTATTTACCCTCTCCTATCCAGTGTCCACCGACTGTGAGTAAGAGAAAGTACGAGAAGACAGAGTTCGCTTTCGTTGCCTCTCCCCCATCTAATCTGATGGCTGCAATGGAAATGCAAAAGGATAAGCCGAAACGCACCATTTTCTGGTGTGATGAGGAACATATTGCGGACATTCTTGCTGTTTCTGAGGTATTTGTTTCTACTATGTATAGATGGATCTGACTAAACCCCAAACCCTCCAAACCTATTTGTATTTTCTGATAGATACGTTGACTACTCTGTCTGTGTTTCAAAGAGGAATGAAATTTGACTAAACAGGTCTTGATCTTGGTCTTCTATATGCTGCAACTAAGGTCTGTGCCCACTTATAGTTTTAGAATATGAAGTTGAAGATCATTTTGAAATTAACTAGTCCCGTCGACAGTTTCGGAATACTGATCTGGGCAACATTCCATTCCATTTTGAAACTAATCGCTCACACTCCGTCTCACACTCTGTCTCAATCCACCACCAATACATAGATTGTTGCTGCTCATCGTCGCTGGCGTCGTGGAAACGATTGGCACAATCGACAAGAAGAGTAGCTTGGGAAGAGACATGCAAATGCATGAGGGAGAAAACAACAGGGGACGAGACTTCTCTTGCGCGAAAATAATGAGGAGAAAAAGAAAAAAAGTTTTGTATATCGCTTCCTATAATTTTCGTCAATAGAAGAAAAATTTCATTATGTTTATCCAAAAATATCAGGTTCATATATACCTCGAGATCGGGTATAAGAGACGCCACAGATACGACACGAAATTGATAACGACGACTAAGTTGTTAACCCTGTCTGATCATTTCAACAACTTGTTGTAGTTCTATCTAAGAAATGGTAGTTAGTACTAGAAATATGGAAGTACTAGATGTTTAAGTTTATCCACCAATTTGTAGCACGTAAACGCGTCTTTTAAGTATTCGCAACATCTGCAATATGATTATCGAGGGGGCGGGAAGAAGCCACCCGTTGAACAGGGTGCGATAAGAATGCCCAAACTAGAAATAACCGAGTAACATCAAGAAACATAATAATAAATAGATATCCGAGTTGTATCTGAGCAGATTATTCTCGAAGCCACAACTCGATTATTTCAGTTTTTCGAATATAGTCTTGCTGTTGGATAGCTTATGCCCGAGCATCCACAAGAAGAATGTTGAGACGTATTAAGAAAGGCCTAGTAGTCTCGTTGTACTCGAGTTTTCTAATGAAAGAGTGACAGGTCTCTCTCTCCAATGCCCATACTGGCTGATACGGATACGAGAGTGACGGATCATACCAGACTGACGTAATCCTCGTGAGCGTGTAGTTATGTTCTAGTAGAGAGAAGAACACTTTTTATATCAGACGCAGCCAGAAGATGCATTCTAGTCTAGCAAACGAGATTCATTCTACGACTAAGACAGATTCTTCACAGAAACCACGAGGTACAACTGCGAGTAAGACAGATAATTGACACCTACGAGATGACCGTTTTTCGACTTGATCTTGACGCCAGAAACGAGATTGATTATGCAACTTTTCCGAGAGCGTGTTCGTTGAGAGGGCCCCATGAAATTGGACAAAGACATTTTGTGCCCTTGAGTATGTGCCGGTCCTATGATTGATTTGTAGTAGAGAGCTCATAATGAAGTACTAATAGTCGTTGTAGAGAGCGCAACATATTTTTTTTTTCTCCGCCTAGGCTAGCTGGGTCGTCTATCTTCATTCTACTTCTTCTAGTAGAGAAATTCAATTCTACTTTGGGTATAATGATAATGATTTCATTTCTTGTTACATGTGGCTGGTCCGTCTCCGTAGGTAATATTCTTATCGACTGAATAAGGACACTTTCCACGCCAAATGACACAGGTTTTGCTCCGTTGTACGGGTGTCACGTTTTCGTTTTATGTGACAAAAAGTCCAAGTAGAAAGTGCCAGGTTCCTTTTTTCTCTCTGAAAGAATAATAGATTCTAGTTCCAAGTAGATAGAAGATTGATGAAAGCATCTCTATGTGTAACTAAGTACTATAATTGTAAAAATTCTCTCAGAAGCGTCTATAAGAAGTATTAAATGTGATAAGTGAAACTCCTGTATTAACAAATAGCACTGATCTGTGATTTTTCCAATGATTAAATGGTGGAATAGATTTGTTTGATTTTTTTTTCCGAGAACTAACTATAATTACTGTAAAAATCTTTACACATTTTCAAAAAAGTCGTGTGTGCGCGTTGTCATGACATCTGACTGCAGCAGCAGCGTCGCTTATTCCCTGTTGACCTGTAAGACTCCATGATCGTGTATCTCTGTCTGTAAAAAATAGAAAACACTCGACATTAATCAAATTGAACTAGGAAAGTCTTCATCTTCTGTATAGCTGGTTCTTTAAGATATCAGACCTATAAAAGAACTATAGTGCAGCTGGCAATAACTGAACTATATTCTGAACAACGAACTCTAGCGGTTAGTGACAGACCACCGCAGTAGATTCCTCTATAAGAATGCACAACAAACAATCTTCCCAAAGAAAGGGGCTTCAAGAGGATTAGGGGGAGGAAATCGACGAGCTAAAATCATTTTTTAGGTCGTAAGAAACAAAGAAATAGTTCAAGACAAAGCTTTTCTTGTTACATCGTTTTTCGAAACTTTCGTTTTTCGGAAGATTCGTCCTGAGCGAGGACTACATCGGCTACAAGAATGGCAGACCACCACACGGAGCGAAGAAGCCTACCAGGAGGAAGACCTCCCATCTTCTAACATGAAATCCAAAAGAACGAGGTCGTGGAAAACTCGACGCAGCACTCTCGTCATCCTCGCAGCAATGTTGTAGCAAAATCGAAAAAGAGAAATACTTGACTTGGATTGATCGTTCGTTCGACGAAGAAAGAATAATCTCATCCCAACTCTTCATACAGGAATGATGAAATAGGCATGAAAATTGTAGGAAAAAAGTAGACCCGGAAGGGGTCCGGTAGCGGAAAGATAGCGTTGAAGTTGATAAGGATCAATATTCAACAGAAGGGAACAAGAAGTCGTTCTACTTGCTAGTTTTAGTGTTGCAGTACTACATTCAGTGCTGTATAGTACGTGCTAGCGTAGTTGTTGTAGTTATTATAAGCTACAAAAGTTTTGAGGTTCTCATCAGGGGTATTTGTTGTATCGAGTCTTTAGTAGTCTTGGACGACCATAGAACAACATCACCCTCGCGCGAACTAATTCTTAAGAACAATCGTTATCGTTTTTGAAGACCCACCTGTTTGTAAGTGAAATTTCGCTGTGTACGAATCATCTATCGCTATCCAGTCTAAGTCTATAGCTAAGATCGTCTTCATGACAGACGCAATCTACGTACTGCATCAAGCATGGTACTCTTAGAACGTAAAAAAGGAAGATAACTCTGAACAACCCTCAAAACGACTCCTCGCATGGGTACTGCGCGTAAAAACTAGACTCAAGCTACTGTATTAAGTGTACTAAGGTACAACTAGTATTTTCATGAGTTGTGAGGCAACTACTAACTAGTTGGTACTACTGGAAGCAACTAAGAACTGGAAGACTAAGTTCATGGAAAAGGTACTATAACTCTACATGATAGCTCTATTTTCTAAGGTGTAAAGTAATCAAGTAATATCTCCAAAGTTTTCCACTAAAGTCTGCTGGTTTACCTAGTAGACCCACACCTAACCTAATCTAACAAGATGTCGTCACCAAGTACGAGGAAACAGTGCGATTTTACTCGCCTGATCATGGCCGGCTACGAAGTCGAGCTCAACGAAGGCTCAACCCAAGACTTTCACGTTACCTTTCATGGCCCGAAGGGAACGATATATGAAGGTATTAGTTACTACTTGCGTAGCGACTCAACTTGCACTACCTCCTGCTAGGCAGATTCATTCTTTCACTCACATTACGATTGAATATGAAATTGTTCACAGGACTACTTGACTTCCACAACTTCATTCATATCTTCAGAGACGAAGAGGACAGCACAATGACAATACCTCCTACAACGTGGTTTTACCCTTACCGACAAGCATGACCACTCAGAACAACACTTAAAACCTCCCCTCCCCTTTTCTTCCCACTGGTCAGGAGAACTAGTTTTCGGCGTTGGGGGAAGGGGGAAGTATGATAAATGCCGACCACGAAAAGTGCGTGCTCGGGGTCAACTAGTCGCCTTCAGGGGAAAGGGGAAACTAGTAGTCGCCGTCAGGAGAAAGGGATAATGCATGGTGAAATTCATCTAACCAGTCTACATACTCCTGTTTTCGTCACGCAAAACATTCCAAAGACCACTCAGAACAACACTTAAAACCTCCCCTCCCCTTTTCCCACTTTGGACCGTACTCCGTGAATAGGTTTACTACTACTACGACTACTACGACTACTACGACTACTACGACTACTACGACTACTAC